GACATGCAGATGACAAAAACTATAAAATGCTGCTGTGTATCGTTCATCATTAAACAGTTACAAATTAAATCGATGGTAAAATATGATTACATGCCCACTAAAATGACTTTAAATACTGACACTGTGGATTGCTGGTAGAATCTAGAGCCACAGGAACTTTCACTGTTGCTCGCAGGACACAGCCCCTCTATAAGACTGTTTGGTATGCTTTCTTATCAAGCTAAGCATAGTCTTGACTTGTATCTTAGTCTGTCCTTCTTAGTCTATGTACTGTAACAGCATGCCCCAGGCAGGGAAATTTACAAAAAATAGAATTCTATTTAACTCACTTCTGAAGTCCAGTAAGCTGAGACCAAGGCTGCAGCACCTGCTGTGGGTGTCCTTGCTATGTCCCACATGGCAGAAGGTGGAAGGGTGAGACACAGCAAAGCCCTCTTTTGAGATCTTCTAGAGCAATATGAGTCACTCCTTCTGCTCCCAGACAGATCCCCTTGAGTACTGCCTCCCAGAACTGTTGCATGGAAGATTAAGTTTCTGCTTATATGCATCTGGGGGCCGTGTTCAGACCACAGCAGCATACGATCCACCAGAGAGATCCAGAATATTTGTGCAACTGATCTGCACAACTATGTTCCAACCAAAACCTACCGCTTCACATCAGCTTTACTCACAACACACCCATCGGGAAGCCACCGACATGCCCTTAGGTAAATGGAGTGTGGGATACTCATAACACAGAACATTATTCTGTGGTGGAAAAGAAGTGGGCTATCAAGCTACAAAAAGACAAGGATGAACCTTAAATGCAAAGTGGAAGTCACCAATCTGTATGATTCCAATTCCATTACAATTTTGGAAAGGTCAAAATCATTAAAAATATATATATATCAGTGATTGCCAAGGGCTTGGGGAGAAATGGGAAGGTTAAATGTGTGATGCCTAGGTACTTCTGTAAGACAGTAAAGCTATGACACTGCAATGGTGGATCATGGAGTTATGGACTGTCAAAACACCAGTGAGCTGTACAGCACAAAGGGTAAAGTTAAATGTAGGCAAAACTGGAAAAAAAAATCATTTAGGATTTTAGGAGATCCCAGGAAGGAAAGCAGACAGTGATAAGAGAATCTAACTATGACAAATAGGGGGAAGAACCCACAGAGGGGATGAGGGAAATGGTGCTGATCCAAGTTACTTTAGAGAGAGTCCATCCCGCAAGTCTAGGGGCAGAAGAAAGCACACATCATCTCTGTCTTCTGCTAGACCAAATGTTTCCCAGGGGAGCCTAGGTTCAGAGGATCAGGGGTTAACAACACTGACACCGCTCTCCAAGTACCTTGGAACTGAACAACTAAGGAAATGGATGGGGGTGATGGGGGCCAGGCTCCTTGTTGGAGGGGGATTTTACAGATAAGCAAGAGGGAGCAGCTCAGTGATCCATGTGGCAACAATCAGTGCTAGAGATGCATGTGAGCTCATGCCTGGTTGACGCAGATACAGACACTTCCATATGGAAACATCTAGACAGGGACTAGGGGCTCTCTCAGCAGAGAGGACCTAGAAGCAAACATACTCGAGGGGCAGCAAGCACATTAGCATTGAGGCTGTGGATTTAATTAACAGTAATATATCAGTGTTGATTCATTAATCATAATAAAGGAGCCATACTAACACAAGATGTCAAAAATAAGGGAAATTGCCTGTAGCATCTATGGTAGCCTCTGAACTGTATTCAGAGTTTTTCTATAAACCTATAATTTCTTAAGAAATAGGTATATTAACGAACCAAAGTAATATGAATAAACAAATACTGTAACGGACAGGTTTTGTACGTGAATGTACTGAAACCGCATCTGAAGCAGCAGATTCTGGTGAGGCATATATTACCTGACTCATTGGGTGACTCAAGCCCTTCTGTCTTAGCCTAAAGATTAGATCGTATTTAGAGAGAAAGTTAAATCTGGGATGGGGGAAATCACCTGAGTTACAGAGGAGAATCGGCAGAAAGTGAGAACGAAAGTCTGCACTTGCATTTCCCCGGTTCCCTGAGGTCACCAGGTTTGTCCAGGTGCAGCTCTGCTTTCCTCGAGTCCGGTCCTCTTTGAACAGTCAGTGGTGAGTGGTGGGTCTGAGTCCCTCCGCAGAGCTGAAGACTGGCTCCTGCCTGGACTGTCCAAGTCGCACTCTGGCCATGACACAGGATGGCTGCCCAGTTCCCCAAGCAATGGAAAGTGAATTCAACACAAATCTGGTTGAGGTCAGTGAGTGCCTTGGGCTCTGCTCTCAGGAGCTCCTTTGCAGACTCCCAGGCACCACGACCACTTGCGCCTGTAGGTTACAGCTCAGAACCTGCACTGCCAGAGCCAGGCCATGCACACGCGAGCTGGCGATCTATGTGGGATGTCCTCCTGGACAGTAGACACAATGGAGTGGGGCCACAGGTGAGGAAGGAGAAAGCAGAGGCACGGGCTTGCCACACCCTGCAGACTGAGGCACTGTGCCTGGCTCCCGGGACCTCCGGCCCTGACTGTGGCAGCCTCAGTTCTTCCAGTTATTTCTACTAAGGCCAAATGTTACCCAGGTTCCCTCGGGGCCTCTAATTGCCCTGGTGGCTTTGGTCACTGCTCTGGCCTCTCTCAGCTGAAAACAGTGACGTGTCCTTTCAGATGTGCACATCCCTGGGGCCAAGGTGAGCTGCACTGTCGGTCACCAGCTCTTCCTGCTCAGTGCGGGAGGTTCTTCTTGGCAATAGGGCGTAGTTAGCTCATGTTCCTCCTGGTTTAGATCCTTCACCGGGGAAGCAGAGGACTCACCTCCCTGTGCCCAGATTCCCCAACGAGCACGAAGGACCCAGCTGAAATGTGTTGGGCGGTGGATGACACCATAGCAAGCCCCCGGAAACCTGAAGACCCCTGTCCCACTCTTGACCCCATGTGCCCCCCAGCAAGTGCCTGCCTACCTCAGAAACCCTGGGCTCCTGCTGTCCTGAGTGCCAGCCGCACAGGGCACAGCCCCTCCACCCATCTTTCTCCTCCAGCTTGCAGACTGTTTCCTGCTGGAGTTGAGGGAAAGGGTCAGATTCACCCCTGGTTTAAAAAAAAGAGCCTCTCCATTCCCTCACCTACGAAACTCTGCACTGTCCAGCTCTGTGGGCTGGAGCAAGGGCCAGGCTTGGAGGCACAAACGTCATAAACCTGAAGATGCTGGGACAGAAAAGGGCGAGAGGAGTTCCGCAGGAAAGCAGGGAGCGCTGGAGTAGACCTGCCACCTCTCTGCAGCTCCAGGGTTGCCCTACCAGGAGGCAGTGCCAGGGATGTCCCACGCAGCCCCCGTGACAGTGACAGGGCAGACAGTGGTGAGCTTTGAGTGGCGCTGCAGACAAACCACAGCTGAGGGTCCACTGTCGCTGGCTGGCTGCGTTCTGGAACAAGGAATTAATGACTGTAAGACTCTTCGGCTGTGGATTGGTGCAGGCCCTGTGGGAGATGGAAGCTGGAGATGTGGACAAGCACCAGGCACAAATCAGAACGCAGCGCAGGGGCTCTCCATGCTGCAAAATCATTGGTTGTTCAGTTGGTCAGCTGCTTACATGATGAATACATGCAGCACTCTCAGATTGGTGACACTTAGTGGAAAACCCACAGACAGTGCACTTCTCCACTCTGTGTTTTTCTTCATCTGCCACAGCTGTCACATTGGTGTGGACTTGAATGTTCCACGAGGGCTCATGTGTCAGTGGTGTGGTCCCCAGTCTGTGATAGAAGCTTTATGGGGTGGGGCTCCCTGGCAGGAAGGGAGGTCTTGGGGAGCCTGGCCTGAAGGGGATGTTGACACCCCACCATTGGATTCCTCCACCTCATGCTCCCACCATGAGGCACTGTGTTGCCACAGGCCCAAGAGTTCTAGGCCAATGGACTATGTCCAACACCTCAAACACTGTGAGGTAAACCTTTCCTCCATATATGTTGGCTACCTGGGGTATTTTATCACAGGAGCAGGGAGCTGACACTGCTGTCATAATGAAATTTCTCAGATTCAGGGGCTTAAACAACATACATTCAGTCTCTCCCAGTTCTGGGGCTGGAAGCCCATGATCAAGATGGCAGGGATCTCCATGTCTGTGAGAAATTTCTTGCTGTGTCCTTACAGAGCCTGTGCTTGGGTCAAAAGCACTCTTCCTGTGTCTCTTCTATAAGGACACTGATGCTGTGGACTCAGGGCCTCACCCTCATGATTTCCTTTGATTGTATTCCTTCCTGAGAGGACCACTGGGGAGAGGGCTGCAGCCTGCAGGACACACAGACATTCCATCCATAGCAGGGCTTCTGGAATTTCTTACTCCCCAGAGACAAATGTGTCATTGTAATATTGGCATCTGTGCCGCTCAGCAATGCAAGAGCTGCCATACTAACCCCTCACAGGGTATTAGGAAAGGAGGAAATGGAAAGGGGAAGGGGGGAAACCTGGCACATGAATGGCTTCCATACCTGCTCTCATGGTTGACTGCGGAGATGGTCCAGATCTGTTCACTCTTCCTGACACAGGCCTCTGCAGCCTCCTCCACACTAGCCTAGCCTCAGCCGTGTGACCTCTGGCAGCCCATGGGTCCTTAGCAGACATGACAGGACTGCAGGCATGGGAAGAACTTGTCTGTTGCCAGGTGCTTGTAGAGCCTGTTGCCATGGGAACAAGCACAGGCTGTCCTGCCCAAGGCTAGGTCCCTGTGGATGAGCCAGAGGCAGCCCAGGGAGCCGTCACGCAACCCCTGCAATCAAGAAAGCGCATTGCATATATGGAAATGAGCGCAGGGCTGGAAACTGGCCTGGACGACAGAGACAGGGACAGGTTGCCCAACCAGCCCCTCCTAAATCAGTGGCCCACACAGGAGTGAATTAAATAAACTGTTATTCCAAGCCACTTGGTCTGGGGATGGTTTGTTACACAGCAATAGCAAAATGAGACATCTGTGAAATGCTTTGGAAACAAAGAAGGAACTAAACAAAGAAGCACAATAGGCGAGAAGACAAGACACATACACAAGGTGCACAGCCCACAGCTACGAAGGAGAGTTGGCTTTTCATTACATGAACTATAATAATGTTGATGTTGATGAGAAAACTGCATACAATCCAGAGATGATCATTTTTAAGTAACTGTAGCATTTTGAATCTCATCTAGAATACGATGCAGTGAGGCTTGTAAGAGTGAGCAGCAGGAGGAAAAGATATCAAGGACATTTATTTCGCATCCAAAACATCCCCCGCCTCCTCATTCAAGTCATGCTTTTGGAAGTGAGTCAGGTCACCTTTTCTTTATCCAGACTGGTTTGCCCATTCCTTGAAATTGCAAATGGTGACATAATACAAGGCCTCTAGGCAGAGAAAATGTGCAGTCCAGTCTGGCTTCTCTGCAATCTGCATTTTCCCGAGGTCCCTGACTCTTTCCCTTGCAACCCAACTTAATTCAATCCCCTACCACGTCTCTGCTCCCAAGAGCCTCCAAAGCTATTTTGCAGAGGTCCTATAAATAACGTTTTGACAATGTTTAAAAAATAACAGTCAGGGGGGAGCAGTGTGAACTCCCAAAGGAAAAGGGCATGGAAAAGGGATCTTCTCAGAACAGTGTCTACAGCTGTACCTAGACGCTATCAACCAACCAGAGTGGTCCGTTTTTCCAGCTGACTGCATGGAATTGACCTGTTACTTGGGCTTTAGAGAGAAACAGCCATATGAGGTGAAATGAGAAGGAAAGACTGACCAGTGAGAACAAAGTCAGTAGATGCAGTGTAATCTACTAAATGCCTCAACAGGAAGGGACTTATGGAGTGGACATGGCCTCCCGATGGGCCGATATTTGATGACAAGGAGGGTTGCCCAGGTGCAGTATTCCACTCCACAGTGTAAGTTAGAGAGACCTGGTGCTTTACTTTATGGAGAGATGTGAGATCTGGGAAAGGCCATTGTTTGACATGTGGATGATATTTAAACTCCCCTTTCATTATCTCTGCTATGCTTTGAATGTTTATATCTCCTGTAAAGTTCCAGTATGTGAACTTAATCACCAGTGTGATAGTATCAGGGCCTTGAGAGAAAAAGACTCCTGAGGATGGAGCCTCAGGGAATGGGATTAGAGACCTCCCACAGCCTGAGACTTCTGCCCTTCTGCCTTCACCAGGTGAGCTCCCAGGGCACCATCTTGGGAGAGGACACTGAGTCACCGAACACCTTGATCACAGACTTCTCAGCCACAAGAACTCAGAAAGAAACTTCTGCACAAATTCCTCAGTCTTGGGTGATTTGCTCCAATGATACTGATGGACTAAGACTGTCCACTGTGTCCCCTCGGGGCCACGGTGTCCCCCATTGCCTACAAACCTTCCCTCAGCATTTGGTTGATGACAACTGTATTCCTGGAGTGGGACTAGCTAACAGAGCGTCAGTACACGAGGTGGACAGAAGTTTATCTCCTCTCAGTTCTGGAGGCAGAAGAAGATCGAAGTACGGTGTGGCTGGAACTGTTCCTTTCCACATCAGATTCATAGGTTGAAGCCCCGATCTTAATGGGCTATTTAGAGTTGGGGTTCTTCAGAGATTCCTCCACTTACACAAGGCACGAGAGTGAGCCTCTGTGGCGGTGTTAGTGCTCTTCTAAGAAGAGAGAGAGAGACATCAGAGCTGTGTCTCCACCGGACGAGGACACAGGAAGAAGGTGGCCGCCGACAAGCCAGGGCAAGAGCCCTCCCTGGGGAGCTGAATCTGCCACTTGCCTAATCTTAGGCTTTTCAGCCCCAGAGCTACAAGATCTAAATTCCTATTGTATCAGCGCTTTCCAGGACATGCACCTTTATTATGGGCACCTGAGCCGCTTCTCACAGGCTGGTCTTTTGGGGAAGCCTGTCCCTTTGCTCTTCCCCCTGTCTTCACATGATTTCCCCTGTGGGTGTGGCTCTGTCCTAAATTTTCTTTTCCTGTGCTGACACCAGTCACTTTTGTCAGGGCCCATCCTAATGACCTCGCTTTATCCCTTTAAACATGCTACATTCAAATCCTCTCACCTTCCCAAGTACTGAGGCTTAGAATACCAGCACAGGAGTTGGGGAGCAAAAGACAGCTTGTAAGAGGCCTTGTAGTTCTCCACCTCAGAGGCCTGTTTACCTTTCACTCCCTTCATATTAACCCAAGCATCAGGGTCAAACCTGTACAAAGGAGAAGAAAACACTTCCAAGTTCAGTACCTAGTAATCAAGTGTAAGGCGCACCCTAACTTTAGAAAGGTGAAATGTAAGACAAAAACATTGTCTTAGACAAAACATGATACACGACTTTTTAGAAACTAGAAAATTCCTGTAAGATTTGCAGGAATTGAATCAAGTCTCTCATTGTTGAAGTTTAGTTAAAATCCTTCCAGTCCAGGAAAGAGAGGCAAGTAGACGGCACTGCACAGGGCCAGGCAGGTAGATCGGGGAGCTCCCCATTCTGCACACAGCGACAGCACTGAGACCTCTTTGTGGGTTGGAGCACAGAGTGACAGGGGCCGGCAGAGTGGCACAGTGGTCAGAGTCTTCCGTTCATACAGTGGTCTGACACTCACGGGTCCCTCCAGGCTCTTGTGCTGGACACAGGTTCCTGGGGCGGCAGTGCTAGAGCCAGGACTTCAGAGGGGTGCCAGGATCGTGAAAGCTGTCACTTAACAACGCGTTATTCCAGTGCACCGGTGGATTCGTCATCCGACGGCGTTATCGGAAGGTAATGGAGACGCGGGAGGGGATGCCTGCTGAAGGAAGTGGGTCGTGGAGGAACGACCGTGGGAGTGGACTGTGCTCCAGCCCTTTTTGTTCAAGCTCTCCTGCTTCCTCTGCTTCCCAGCCGCCTTCTCCAACTCTCCTTCCAGGAGGCTCTGCCTCTCTACTTGTCAAAGCCCCACAGAGCAAGCCAACCACAGACTAAAGCTTCTGGAATCATTAAAAAAAAAGCCTCTTTTCCCATGAAGTGCTCAAGTCAGGTGCTTCGTCTCAGCAGCTGAAAGGGGACTGACCCAGCTTATGAATGAGACAAGGCTGTGTAACTTTCTCTTCGCTGCTGCTGGAGAAGAGCGGGGAGATGAGGCAGGAGCGGACACAAGGGAGGGCAATGGGATGGAGGATCCGATCAGAGCACAGTGTACCTACGAAAACAGCACAGTGAGGCCCATTATTCTGTGCAATTAATATGCAGTAATAAAATAATTTAAGCATTTTTTAAAATGACTTTCAGGTGTGCATGAAATAAATGAATTGCATGTTTAAACTCAGGTCCCATCCCTGGGGTATCTTGCTATGTTTATGCAAATATTACAAAACCCAAAAATCAAAAATCCAGACCCTGCTAGCCCCAAGCAGCGTGGGTCAGAAACGCTCATCTGAGGACATAAGTATCAGGGAGGCAGCCGGTCCTTGGGACTGACCGATTAGCGCCATGCTTTCAGGATGTTGATGCAGGAACAAGAGCCCCCTTCTCCCCTAGGGTGAGGCCCTGTAAGTGCTTCCCCTTTAATCCCATCACTATGCTTTCCTTTTAATCCCCCACTGTGGTTCAGGGCCGAACATGAAACCAAAAATCATGGTCTCTTTCAAGAGCTCCTCCCCCTGCGACCTCAGCCCCTCACTCCTCACTGCCATCTGGGTAGTCTGAGGTCCACAGCGGCCACCCCAGGACATGGAGAGCTGAGCTGCAGACACACCTCACTGCTGACTTGTCCTGAGCATGCAGGATGCCTTGCCCTATCCGCACGTTCTCCTTGAGACGTGTCCAGTGTCCCCAGACTCTGTCAACCCCACCAGAAATATCGTTAACAAGCAAGGTGAGGTAAAAACCAAAACCTACCCATGCTTTCCCACTTGGCTTTGCTTTGCTTCTGTACTTTCCATGGAAAATCACCCTATCTTGAAGCCATCAGTGAAGACCACAATCAGCCAGGCCTGGTGGTGAAGCTCTGTAATCTCAGCAGTCTGGTAGGCTGAGGCAGGAGGACCACAAATTGGAGATCAGTCTGTGCAACTTAGTCAAACCCTGTCTCAAAATAAAGAATAAAAAGAGCAGGGAATGTAATTTAGTGTGAAGGCCCTGGGTTCAATTGCCAATATGAAAGAAAGGGAAGAAAGAGGGGGGAGAGGGGAGGGAGGAAGGAGGGAGAGAGAAATGAGAAAGAAAAGAAAGAAAGAAGGAAAGAAAGAAAAAGAAAGAGAAAGAAAGAAAGAAAGAGAAAGAAAAAGAAAGAAAGAGAACAAAAGAAAGAAAGAAAGAAAGATAGAAAGAAAGAAAGAAAGAAAGAAAAAGAAAAAGAAAGAAAGAAAGAAAGAGAATGAAAGAAAGAAAGAAAGAAAGAAAGAAAGAAAGAAAGAAAGAAAGAAAGAAAGAAAGAAAAAGAAAGAGAGAAAAGAGAAAGAGAAATACGGAGGGGGCTGCTGTGCTTACTCTGACGCTCCTCAGCCTGTAACCCGTGCTGGGAGGACCCTGTCGCTCTTTCTTCCGGTGCACTGACCGAGTGCCCTGGCCCGTGTCACCTGGGAGGCAGGCGGACTCCAGCTGGGAGCGAACCCCCGGCTAACTGGGTGCCGGGGACTTCATGGCCACTGGGACGAGGCTTCTTCTCAGACGCTGGTCCAGGAGAAGAGAGAGAGAGAAGGGGCGGTACAGAGAAGCAGACTGCTATTCCTGGACACAGAAAAATGTGCCTTTGCTAGTGCTGCAGCCGGGAAAAGTACTCTACACTCCCACCGCAACTCCTGTCAGTCTAATTCCTCCTGAAGTGACGCACGAGAGATTTTCCAGCTCCAGGGCTGTCGTCTGCGGTCCCGGTGCTCGGTCCTCGAGGATCGAGTCACTTGCTCAGCCTGGCGCAGGCGGAGGCGGGCAAACCCTTTTATTTAAGGGCAGGGGGATGGGGACATGTCGCAGGAATTTAAGTGCTGGGAAACATCTTCACCAACGTTCCTTTCTCAGGCGACAGCCTGCTCCCCCAGGTCTCTGCTCATGTGGGACGCACTGTTACTGCACTCTCCTCGGTCATCTTACATCCCTGGAGAGGGCTTGACTCATGGTATAATTACAGGCTCCTCCCGTTCCCACTGCAAGCGGCCCCAGACTGCCGCTGCCCCCCACTGCTCCTTGCTCCAACGCCAAAGGAAGCCGGGTCTGCCTGCGATGCAACGCGGCCTCACTGGGCAGGCGCCCACTGTCAGGGGCAGCGAGGGCCGCAGCCCGCAGTGACTCACCGTAGAGCTGCCTTCCAGTCGGGGTCTGCAGAGCCCGTCAGGACAGCTCGCCCGGTCCCCTCGGTGCTTCATAAAATGTTTCCGGGAGGGCAGGTCGTGACACGTTAGGGAAGTGAGGCTGAGTGGCAGAGGTGGGGGCGCCATGGCTGGCCGCTGGGGGGTGGCACGGGGCGTGAAGTCAGTGGCCCCTACCCCGTCCTTTCTCCACTCTCCCGAGAGAAGGTCGCTCGGGCGGCTCCACCTTCTCAGCGCCAGCTCTGGGCACATGGGGCAGCTCTTCTTGCTGCCTGAGTTCAGGCGAGTAAGTGGCCCTCAGCTTCTTGTGATTGCTTCTGGGACCGGAAGGCTCTGAGAGCACTGAGGAGCTTGGTCCCGAGGCCATCTTCTCTTCTGCCCACCACAAACCCACTGGGCTTTCTTTCTGCTGTGAAAGCTTCAGGGCTCGTGTGAAAGCTCACTTCCTTGGGGAAGCCTCTTCCAGAGCCAGAATCCAATTTGCATGGTACATGCTATTTCCTGAATCATACCACCCAGGTCTTCCTCCAGAGCTGTTCTCATGGTTTGTAACTACAGATCTTGTCTGTGTTAGCACCGTCTCCTCCCACTACTCTGTGGGCTCCGTCAGCGAAGATACACAGGTGTGTATATGAGGGAGACTGCTATGAAGCGGCTCTGAGCAGGATTTAAGTTAACCAGCTGGCTCTCCATGTTTACTTGTGAGTCTGTCCCATGCCTAGGCCTCTTGTCTGGAGATGGGCAGTGGAGTCATAGTAAGTGAACCTCTGTGAGTCACTGATCCCGACTGAGGCCTGTACTGGCAGGTGAAGTTGTGAGGCCTCAAAGGACAAGACAAGGCCACAGCTAAGGACACCTCAATTAACTAGATAAAGGCTGTAGCTGCAGGCATCTCACTCCTGGGTGAAGACCTTCCTGGAGATAACACAGTTCTCACTAAATTAACAGTGTCTTACTTAGAGAAGCCCTTGAGCCATTCTGCCTTTCTTCAGTATTACCCTCCCTTGTTTTGATAACTAAATAAATACAGCTGCCCTGAGAAGGTCTTGGTCTTAGCCCCCAGAGAATCTCGAAATCTGTTACAGAGTTTTGATCCTCCTGGAGCCCAAAAAGCGTACCACTTGACTCATTTATTTAAGCCTTTGCTGTCCACTTTTTTGGAAGAGTGCAGGACTGATCAGTCCACAATAACTAAACGATAATGTTAACATGTTATGTGCACATATATGTGTATATGCCTAAAAAATACACATATCTGTATGCATATGTGGATGGATAGATAGATGGATAATAAATAGATGATAGATGGATGGATCGATCGATAGAGAGACAGACAGACAGATAATTTCACCAGTACTAGCCAGCTTTTGCAAAGTACTTGCACTGCTAGATCCTAGTGTGTCCTACTCACCTTCAGGAATGTCCTCATTGCCATCAGCGTGGACTGAAGGAGTCAACTCTGCGGCAGCCACTTACCCACCCCTGCATGCTCCTGAACACCCTGCCCTGCTCCTCCACCCCCCATTTTCCTCAGACCCATTTCCCAAATCCCTTCTGAAGGCAGAACCCTAAGGGAAAGCATCCATCTATTTGTCATTTTAATGTTCTGTCCCCTGCATGGCCACCAGGCTGATCCAAATTGCTCTTTTCCCAGAAGGTCCCATGAACCTGCTACTCATAGTATGATTGCAACAAGATCACCAAAAGCACTGTGTCAAAAAGAGCTCGTTTTTTCCACCCATTTTTCCTCCTTACCCCACATTCTCTCCTGAACTGGCCACAAAGGGCTCCGTGGGGGCCTTGTGTGACTCCTGGCTAAGATTCAGTCCTGAGCCCTGGGAGAGAAGAAGTCATGTGACCAGAGAGGAGGTGGTGGCTCCCAGCTCCAATGTCTGCACCTCTGCTGCCCATGCTAACTCATATTTATAAGTTCTTCCGTTGCACAGAAAGAGAGTCCCTCAGAGAGCCCACTGCTCCCCGCCCAGTCCTAAGCTGGCCCGGTGCCCACCTTGCCCCCTGTCCAGGCAGCCATGGAACAAGCTCTGTTTTTGAGGGGCAGAGACCTGGCTTTCAGTTCAGCCTTTCATGCTGTCATCTCTCAGGCTGTAAAATAAGGAGAAAAGTGAGCTCCCTTATAAGATTATTGTGATCACCAACAGGTAATAATAGCCACTTCATCAGCAGCAGCAGGACAGAGGCTAACAACCCAACAGACTCCCATATGTGTGTATGTTATTGTTCAAACCAAAGATATTGGGCTATTTCATAAACTGACTGAAATGTGACTTTAAACTGTATCAAAAACCATTAACTAATTCGGGAACTACCTCGCCTACCACTGGGACTACCATTAAGCGAAGGGATGGTCCTTGAAGAGCTTCTGATTTAGTCACAGTCAGACCCAAGTTGCCGTGGGGTTCGCAGAGAGGAGCTGTGTGCTGAGGTCATACACACAGCCTGAAGAACAGATTCTTTCCAGGTCACCAATACAGCAGCTCCTGTGGGCAGAGCTTGGGGGCCTAACAGAGCTTTACCCATTCCACAAGTCAGTGGCTCCGGGACAATGCCTTCTGGGGTTTCCAGGTGATGATTCCAGGCACGGCTGTGGGATTCAGCTGCAGGGCATCCAGCTCACTCCAGAGCTGGACGCACTGGGGGCCCTGGGCTGGCCTTGCTGATGGCTGTTGCTCAGGACCTCCAGGGTGCTCTGTGGCCTAAGCCAGTGCTGGGATGCCCTGGTGCCCAGAGCAGCTTCCCAAGAGGAGGAAAGTGGAAACTTCAAGGTCTCTTGAGGCCCAGGGTACAAAACTCACAGATACCGGTTGCACTTCGGAAGTCCAGCCCAGGAAACAGTGGGGAGGGACAGCAAAGCCACCCTGCAAAGAGATGTGCAGATAGGGGTGGGAACTGGTGGTTGCCAGAATCCCATCAGGAGTTTGGGGCTATCTGCATGTGGACCCCATGGTCACTGCCAGGCTCTCTGGGCAGGTGAGAAGGCTTGGTGACTGTTAGCAGTGACAGGGGCAGATCTCAATATAGACTTGTAAATAAATAAATACTGACTATAAACCCTATGGAAGCAATACCACTGGCCAGACAGCAGCACTGCTGTGTGCCTTCTCCTAGGACCCTGCACATAATTATTTCCCAGCCAACAGTGCTATCTTCTTCATGAAAATACAGGTTTATTCCACTCCAAGCTTCTGGGGTTCATCTGCTGGGAGGAGCTCCGTGCAGACAAATGACACACTTGTAAACGGACCTCTTCCTTGCAGTCTCTCACAATCAATGTCTTCCCCAGAATTCGGATTCTACCTGTTATTAGACGACAGGGTGTTATATCTACACACACACACACACACACACACAGACACACACACACACACACACACACATTTTTTTTCCAGGATTTGGGGTTCAGAATTTCAAGATTTTAAACCTTGGGGATTTTAAAATTTAAGGATTTTGATCTCGTGAGATTTCAGCCTTTGGGGTTACGGTGCAGCAGAACAGCACGATTGACCTCCCAAGTCTATAACCAGACTTTGTAACAAGTAAAAGCAAGGGGTTCAGAATGGAAATACTGGGAGAAATGGTCACTGACATTTCCAGATTTGATGAAAATGATAGCTGAACAGCCCCAAAGACTTTGAAAGATACCAAGCAAAAGCAAAGGGAAGAAAATTACACCAGCATATACCTCATGAGATGGCTTAAAATGTGTAGAAACAGGAACCTCTTAAAAGCCGGCATAGAGAAAAGACCCATCCAGAGACAGGAGGAAGGGATGGCAGGCTGTCACCATGCCTCTGTAGAGCAGGAGACAGTGCCACAGTCTTTACAGGGCAGGCGGGAGGCAGAAGAGCAGGGAGAGAAAACCGAACACCCTGCATCTCCAAGCCACCCTTCCACAGCAAACAGGACATCAAACTTCCTCAGCTCTACAAAATTATATCTAAATCATCCTCTGAGACTTTTGCTACAAGCAAATATAGAAGAAAGTCATTCAAGAATAAATGATGCTACAGATCAACAAATTCCAGATTTCTAACCACTAAAACATATCAATATCCCCAGCTCCAATCCACAATGTCCCTCTCCCTCGGCCCTTACTCAGTTTTCTTTGTGTGCTTTAACTCTGTCCAGTGAAATCTTTCTATAGCTCTCAATAAATAAATAAAAAGAAGAAAGCAGAAATAGGAAGATATATAAAGAAATGACAGCTACAAGAAATATAAAATGTAGGTTTAATTACAAAAGACCTATTTTAAGTGGACTTCTAAAATAAAACATAATTTTCATGTATTATTAGATGATAATCTATTGAGTAGTAAAATTTATGGCAATCTCTTAAAAATAGTAGGAAGCTGGGTGTGGCAGCATAGACCTGTAGCCTCAGCCACCAGGGAGGTGGGTGGAAGATCACTTAAACCCAAGAGTTTGAGACCAACCTGGGCAACACAGCAAGACCCTGTCTCAAAAGTAGAGAAGAGAGAGAAATGGAGTATATTTGTCAAAGTTTGTGTCTAGACATCACGCCAAAGCCCCATGCAGTCATGGGCTATGCTTCAGAGTTTTTTATTGATCCATGGTCCAATGCTGCGATTGTGGGTATGAGTGCTACACCCACCCTGGGGCAGGTAGTTTGCATACAATGCAAGGGAGGGAAAAAGTCCTACTTGCTGCTCCTCCCTCTTGCTCTTGTTGTTTTTGCTGTTTTCTGCCATCGTGAACTGTTGCCCTCTGCCATGTGTCACTCTGCCTTGAAACCACCCAATAT